AGTGGCATTCACATTTGAAAAGGCTTCCAGTGAAGAGATGAGACTTAATACAGGGCCCAAAGAGCCTCAGTACGAGCAGCACTTGTTAATGCCAATCAACAGGCGGAGAGGACCTCGCTGTTGCTAAGAGACCAGACAGGATATTTTCATCGGTCCAGTGAGACTCTGATTGATCAGTCACCACTGGCCTCTGGTGTGAGTTCTGTCTTGAGAATAACCATTTTTGATTGATGCAACTTTTACAAATCCAAAAAATATACACAGCCAGTGTTTTGAGAGCAGTTTCATTCAACACAGAAGCATAAAAAACTCCTTTGTGCTCCACAAAACAACTGAAGAAGCTGAGCCAATTAATCTCTGTACATCTCCACATAATTACGCTTGTTTTTGAAATGGAAATCCTCCAAATAATTGGTCGAATTGTGTTGCCGTTTCACAATATTCTCTTTCTGTGCATCAGTAAGGAGGGTTTTGTTGTGAAGAGGTGGCCTTTCAGGAAACACCTAATTGCTATTGGCTGTTTCATTCGCCCTGACATTTATGAAAACTTAATGGACAGCAATTGCTTCTGCTTGTGACATTTTGGATTCCCTTTAAAGCTGTGAATATGAAGGGTTTCTACCTTACGGGCCATGGGACTCAAAATGAAAACGGCTCCCACACGGAGTCTCGTTGCAGCAGATGAAAGAGCGACGAGAGAAAAAGAGACTGATGGTGTTTTCATCCTGGAAGAAAAGGTCACAAATACGTTGCATCATGATGGAAACCAAAGGTCTGGTTGTGGTTTGCAGCAGAAATTCTTTCACAGGTTGTTGAACTCTGCGTGTAATTGAAATGAGGAAACACTAAGCTGATGTTCCAGCTGTAGAAAAGATGCTGAGGTGTGATACTTGGCTGGATGTGTCTGCTCCACTGCACTGGCTCCAAATGTTTTGGTTTTGGAAACAAGGACAGATTCACTCCATCAAAATAATTCACCTGCACTAAGAGGGTTGATCATTGCCAAAGTTGGAATGATGGAGTATGAGCCAGAGAAGAACACTTTTTATTTTGCTGCAGGAAGTTTTTCATCACTTTCCTTCCATTTTTTTCATTTTTCTTTTCTTTCTCAAAAAAGAATGTGTCTTGAAATGAAAACATCAGACGTATTCACAGTTCCTATGAATTTGTAGTTTCATGCAGATTATAAGACAACATCCTTTTTCCTGGAACGCTGGACTGCAGAATTGTTTGGCCTTGGTGGAGTTATGTGTCTAGTGTCTGTTAAAGATGTGTTTGTAAAAATCTGGTAAAGCCAAGAATTAATGTCCCGTCACCAAAGTTTGATGACATGAAATATACATACAATATAGCCAGAGCTGTTGGATAACTTGTTGGGTCAGTCAATGTGTATCTTTAGTCTCAAGCACTTAAATGTTTTTGAAAGCACTTCATAGAAGATGATCCACATCCAGTGACGTAATGTTGTGAGGCTGTTGGTGTGTGTATTTGTGTCTTATTGCTCCTCCTACCTGCAGCCTTTACTTGTGCTGCGATGACCAAGCACCTCTGTACTCGCACAATGCATGCACTCTCAATATTAGCTATATGCTAGGCTACATGACACAGTAAATGCAAGGACTCTCAAGAGTGTTTTTGCAAAGTGAGTGACATACTGGATAATGTCAGCTCCCACGAGGTTAACAACAATAATTCAGATATTGCCATAGACAATTTGTGTATCACACAACACCCACATGATGATTTCCCTCCACAGCGTCACTCATCGTCTCTGCATGCGTAAAAACCCGCTCTACCCCCTGAGCCACAGCCGCCTGCAGGTCAAACTGCTGTTTAACTCATTTGTCTACAAAACGATGTGTTTTAAACCCAATTGTTCCAGTTTGCATTCACTGCTGCTGTAATCTGGCAGCAGATCAGCAGTTAAAGGTTACTTGTGTTGCGGGGCAGGTGGACTGTTCTCCCTGCAGTCACCCCACTGTGCCTTCATTTGCATACTGGATCAGATTATCATTACATTATATATTCCAAGGACAGGCCTGAGCGTGATGGATGATTGGTGCAGTGTAGTCATCTTCACCAAGGTGCTTTGTGCAACCCTCGTATTTCTGCCTCCAAACCGAGCAGCAGTGATCTACTGCTCCACTGATCCAGGGTCAGACTCTGTTTACAGCTTCATTCAGAGGTGCCTTCAGTTCATATGAAATACAATGCACTGTTTTTAATTTTACACAGTCTACATAAATGTATATGTTATGTTTTGTCAGTGTTAAATCATTTTAAAATCTGATTTCCATTACATGAAACTTTTTTTCCTGCAGTTCCCATTGCAGATAGACTATATAGAGCACACAGCTTCACTGATTCAGTAACAGGAGTGGAAAAACAGGCCGGTCCACACAGGATATGTGTGATTAAGGGTGATAAAATTTATCTGTGGTGCCAGTTACACAGATGAGTTTACAGAAATAAGCTGCTGCCTGGGTACAGGATATACTCTGACTGACATTTTGGTGCATTCGATCCAGATAATAGCCTGATGTAGCCATAATGGCATCCAGGGCTAAGTGCATGGATACAATATGATATTTTCTGTACGTGCTTGTGTGGAGGTGTGTGAACGACAGATACTGTAGAAGAGGCTGAGGTGTTCCTGTTCTTGACCATGTGCAAAGTGTGAATCTGCTGAATAGACGGCTGTAGTTTAGAGGAAAGGGAATTTTGACACTGTTAAAACTGTAACTTATATTTTTGGCATCAGTATTTCAATTATTTATCAGGTAAAAGAAACTTAAATTTGAGTAAACTTTATGTGAGAGTCCTGATAAAATATAGTTTCAAACTGTAAATCTAATGGTAAGTTACATTAAATTAGTTCTTTTAATAATACATATCATGAAAACTTGATGTGAATTACTTTTTAAAGTTTAAATTATGTAATCATCACTTTCAGTACATCATTAGGTCAGAGGCCTGAATATCTGAAATCAAATTTAAATGATTTAGAAACAGTTGTAGCTTATTTTATGGACAATTCTCTGGAATTGAGGTAAACGACATGTTTAACTCGATCTACAGACTGAGGTTACACTGCCCCACCCCCACTGACTGCTACACTGCACCAGTCACCTGCTGACAAATATTGAACGTAGAACGCGTCCAAATTGCGACAAACTCGACACTGCACTTCTTCGGGCAATTAACAGTGTGAGTGTGAGTGTGAAGCCGCTGAGATGAATGGTTTGCGAGATATGAGTTCCACATACAGACAGACACAGGTTTAGGGAGCTGTTTGAAAAAAATGTATATGAGCTGTAGAGCTGATGGGAGGATGACTGTGTTTCCTTTAGACAGAGACGGGCTAACTGTTTCCTCTTGTTCCCATGTTCTCGCAAAGCCAAGCTAATTGGGCAGCAGCGGCTGAGGGGTAGAGCGGTCCTCCTCCAGCCAGGTCGGCAGTTTAATCCCAGTCTTCCCCATCTGCCTGCCGAAGTGTCCTTGGGCAAGATGCTGAACCCAGAATTGGCCCTCATAAAAAACAAAAGTGCTGCTAATTGATGCACTGTATGAATGTGTGTGTGAATGGGTGAATGGCAAACTGTACTGTAAAGAGCTGTGAGTGGTCATCAAGGCTAGAAAAGCTCTTTATAAATACAAACCATTTACCGTTTCATCGGCAGCTGGCAGCTTACATAAGTGTTGATCTCTTCACATAACTGAATAATCACTTTCTCAAACCCTTTTTTAGTTTTCCATGTGTCTGCTGCAGCTCATGAGTTGTCAGTGACCTCACACAAAGTCCACTTACTGTGAACTTTCTAGCACATCTTGTGTCCTTCATCATGAAGATAGTTAATGGTTCAGTTATACAACAGGAGTCACAGAAAGAGGCTGGAAGCTCACCACAGTTTGTAGTAAGTGAACTCCAGTAACCTTGTCCTGAAAAATAATACATTTGATTAATTAAAGACTAATTCTTGGAGAATATGTCGTCTGAATCTGTAGAAACTGAACTCCAGCAGAACGACTGAGTCACGTGTAGAAAAACAGTCGTAGCATAAAAACAATGATGAGTGATGGTGTAGGCAGTTTCTATAGGACCCAGAGGTTGACATTTGTTCGGTCACTTAAAGGTTTTTACTGACCCTTAGTTTGGACCATATTTTGAACGTTTAATGGTCCTTTGTGTACTCAACAAAACGTCCTTTTTAAAGAGCTTCCTGCTCCCTGCTCTTTGTTGACAAGAGACAGGAAGAAGATAAGGAAAGCTTAAAATTCCCAAATTATCTCTGCAGGAAGAAAAATAAGCAGGAAGAGAAATTATGACTTCCTCCTTGAGAGCACTAATCTGTACTGACAATTCATACAGAATTCAACAATGGAACCTGTCTCAGGCCTTAATGTATATGATACCTCAATACAACTGGTACTGATATTATACAATGGGAATTAAAGGTACAGTGTGTAGAATTTTGTGATATCTAGTGTTGAAGTTGCATGTTGCAGCTGAACACCCCTCACCTCACCCTCTCCTTCCAAACATGAAAAAAGAACCTGTGGTAGCTTCAATTGTCATAAAAACTCAAAAGGTGTTTAGTTGGTCCAGTCTGGACTAATGTAAAAAACATGGCGGCCTCCGTAGAGAGGGTCCCCTCGATGTAAATATAAAGTATTTAAATACAAAGGGCCTTTTCTGCGGTAAAGAAAACTACAATTCATACAATTTAGATGAAATGAACTAGTGAAAACATCACCAATAATCTTACACACTGGACCTTTAAAATGTGGGTAATGGAAATCCTGAAACTAACTCTGACTTTTGACATTTTCCCCCCAAATATGTCCCACACCTCACACCAGAACAACTTTATGCAACAACAACTTCTTCTCAGTAAACTAACTGATAGAGTCTGAAATAAGAACATTAGAGACGAGACACCACTAAGAATTAGTGCAGAAGTAACTGAACGTCTAAAATAAGAAAGAAGACAGTCGCGTCCTGCTGTCAAAAAACTAATTTAATCCAAACAAAATGTTGATTCAATAACAAGTTTATAAAACAGTGATTTAGTTACATAAATAAATCGATCAGTGTATCAAATCTTAGTTTCAACTTCATGAGCATGTCGACATGGTTGTACAATCATTTACCTAACATAATAAATAAAAGGGAGTATTATTCGCTTCTAAACAAAGGAGCTACCAACAGACCTCTAAGAGACGACACTGAAAAACAGATGACATGAGCTTTTAAAGCACAGAATACAGTTCAGCTAAAAAATGAAAAGACACTAAGAAACGTTGTAACCAAACATCGGCTGGCCTATGAAAAAGGTTTGGTAGTTAGAACTCCCATTTGGTTATTTTAAAGCATTAAGACAAGGCAAGAAAGAAGGCTGTTCCTGTGTGAGGAATTCTAGAGAGAAATGAAAACACTTGAACGAGAAGAAATGAAAAGAAAACGCACAAAAAAGTGGAGCAGTCAAAACCCATGGTATAGAGTGACGTCCTGTAATGTTTTATTTTACAGCTTCTGTATTTTACAGCTAAATTCATGGAAACTTTCCTCATTAATTCACGAAATATATATGCTGAATATAGTTTGTTAGAAAGTATAACGGAAATTAAGAAAGTGTATTTCCTGTTGTATTTGAGCAAAGATGAGTAAATTATAGTTCATTAAAGAAAATTCCTGCACTTCAGGAAATTCCACGGGAGATTATTTAGAAATAAATTGAAATTTACAGACCCAAATGAAGAGAATCCAAAATTATGGAAAACAGTTCATCTTTAGGAAAGTTATGAGGAAAGTTCACAAGAAATTAGCTGTAAAACACAGGACTCGTGAAATAAAGCTTTATCCAATTTTTCTGTCCTTCTCAAAGTTCAGATGTGAGCAGAGGAGGCATGGACACTGGGCGTAAAGCAGCTTCATCTAGAGAGCGAATCACTGCAGGAGGAGACGTGTCCACTGGAGTATCGCAGCAGTTGGCACGTGAACGTCGTCGCTGCTGCTCGACCTCCACTGTCCTCTCTTTCCCTCACGTCTGCCGTCCTCGAAACACTTCTGTATTCAGGAGAATTCACTTTTTGCATGTCCACTTCCCGTCTTCAAGTGGCCGGTTTCTGCAGTTCATTACATGTCTGCAGAGCCAGACCTGCCAGCATGTACTCTGTGTGTACCGCTGTCTCCACCAGCCCCTGATGCGATGCAAGGCGAATGTTTTGAAGTCCTTCTGATATGTTTTTTTCTTGTTTCAAAAACCAAAAGTACTGCAGCTTCAAGTATTGTGCCTTACATAGAATAATCTGTCATAAATTAGTTAACATATACATTTTTTTTCAATATTCAGACATATACTTTCATATATACAGGACATTAAAATGCTTTTGTTCTCTTTTTTGTCTTGTTTTTTTTAGAGAAATCCCTGAGAATGTATGTTGACAGTTGCAAAGTTTCCACAAGAGCGAGCACTGTGACAGTTTGCTGTGTGTCCGTAACAAATAGTCTGTAAACGAAGCATATTGAACATTTGAGACGACGCTGCGAAGCAAAAACAATCAGCCTAAAGATGGCAGGAACAAATATCGACCCAGTGACTTAATTCTGATCGTGGATTTGGAGTTTTTCTGAGCACTGGGGGGGGGGGTAAAGCTGGATCCTTAAAAAGAGGTACTCAATACTTCAGATGGAGTTGCTCCATTTGGTTTAAAGCCGTTTGTTTTCTCTTTGAGGCTGTGAATGTTAACAGAGGGACACAGGAGGAGTGCAAGGTGGACATTTTGCCACTTAGACAATACAGTATATACTCAGTGTAAAACTCTTCCTCTCATACATATAAAAGGGACAAACAGTTCTCCGCTTCTGAAGACTTAATGGTTTTATACACATCAATACCAGCTGTTGCTTTCAGGGTTTTCCTCTTCAATTTCCAACGTGTCAATTTTCAGAGAGAAATTTTACCCCGCAGCATTTTTCATATCTCAACCCTATCACCTTGGACTGTCCAATTATTCCTCCAACACGTAAGTCAACCCAGGATCGGTCTGTGCTAAGGCTGACGCTCGGTGCAGCTTGAATTGAATAAAGTCTAATGATCTGCCTTCAGGAACTTGTGTTTATCATCACATTAGTTAGAAGAGAGACTGCACAGTGACTCCAAGTCACAACGTTTAGAAAACTGGTCAGGTCAGAACTCTTGACACAGATTTACTCACAAGTTTTATTCCAGTCTTGTGTATTGATGGAAAAGATCATTTAAAGTTCAAATAAATCTTGTCCAACAGGGAATTTGCTGCGGCCAACAGGAGAATTATTGAGAGGTAGAGGTAGAAAGGATTGGTTTTCTAGTCATTTTTCACTACTGTGTATTTAGCTTTATCCACAGTGCTATAATATGATATACGGCAAAATGTAATGCTTAATCCCACCAAAACATATCCAAGCAACTCAGCACTTTTTAATACCAGTAATAGTAATAATAGTGATAATGATAATTTTAATAATAATAGCTTTTACCCTGGCAAATTTGCTGGAAGGCCACCCAAGCCTATCCATTCCTTCCTTCCTTAATATTAATCTTCTGATAAATTGTCATCATTTTATCTACTTGCTTTGATATTCTTATTATTTCTGTTACATAATCATATGTTTATGTGTGTGGCATCCATTTTTAAGCATTTTGACCCGTCAGAGATTAGAGTGGGATAGAAACGTTGGCTTTTTTCTTGAAATTTCGTGGCTTGGAATCAACGTGCAGGAGACTTTTTCCTTTCGATGCTGCTTTTTAAATAGCCTTACATCTCTATGGTTTGTGCATATAATTACACCCCTTCAGTTCAGTATCACATTAGAAGCAGTAGTCCAAAATCATATGAATGTTGTTTTAAGTGGATTTTCACTTCAAGTTAGAAAGGATAAAAAAGGAGTCTCAAGTAAAAAAAAGGGCAATAGTCTTTTGATCCACTTTCAACCGAATCTTTCTCGAACGAGCATCATGAGTTTCTTCTTGCCCTTGTATATCTGTTTCAGGTTGTCTATGAACTGAGTGAACTGGATGTGTCCGTCTTGTGCCATGAGAAACGTCTCTCTGGCTTTACTGAGGAACTCGATGAACTCGCTGTAGTGGCGTGGGCTGATGTGTGTCAGCCGAGAGTGCGTCGTGTTGATGTAGGCCCCAATAGTGGCGTCCAGTAGCTGCCTGAGTGGAGCCTTGTCCAGAGACATCAGCTTCCCAGAGTTCCTGCGACTGTGCAGCGCCACCATGCCTGGCGTTGTTAATGTGCACCGCCGCAAAATGTCTGACAAGACGGTGGCGCATTTCACACTCTTCACCACCAGGGGGATGACGGCTGCCAGTTCGTTTTTTCCCAGCGAATGACTGAGCGCACATGCCCACAGCACATCGTTGATGGCCGGGTGTGTGTCTTGGTTGTAGCTGAGGTTCAGGTGAGTCATGGCTAATGTTGCTAGTTTGTACGCTCTCATAGGATAACCACGGTGCTCCATGTAGCGTGCTATTGTAAACAGCTGTGTGTAGTTCATTCCTGTAGCAGCTGCGTCCAGTACAATCTGGTAGGCTGTCTCAAAGGCAATGTGGTCCTTCTCACAAAGCGTCAGGGCAGACAGGGCACAGTTTTGGGGGTCCTTCATGGCGCACTGCAGGGCCAGGGTGCGAGCAGAGTTGGCCAGGTTCTCCTGCTGATGACAGTCCAAATGCAGGCGGACGATGGTGCTGTTGGACATGACTGTGCTCGCCACAACACTAGTGGCTTCGGTGGGGGTGAAGAGGGTGAACCAGCTCTGCATGATGCTGTCCAGTGCAAAAACACCTATAGGCAGAAAGGAAGAGTCGTCTTAGTAAAGATTTAAATCTGAATGAATGTCTCAAACCCACTTTAATTATCCTTATGGTGTACACCAAGGCTCAATTGTCAGCCCTTTACTGTTTTCTTTTTACATGCTTACCATTTGGTACCGTTGACTAGAAACCTGATATTTGATTAACTGATATAATATCCAAACAGCATATTTCTGTTTACTCGTTGTCTCTGGGATGCTTCTGTTCAGACTACATCCTCCTTCAGAAATCATTCAATTGTTTGAATTGCAACAAACTGCATCACAGTCCTTACAATGGCTTTTCACCATCTAATTCAATATTCTATTTCTAATGCAGTGACATTATATGGCCTGGCCTCTCTCTACATCACCAACTGGCATGTTCTCAATGAATCCTTTCAAACTGTGCACACAGAAACAGGGACTCCTTGTCACTCCCCCACATTCACAAGAAATCATCTGGGAGGAGGGTTTTCCCCCTCTGGACCCCACTTCCTGTCCACTTCAGGGAAATCAGCCGCTGGGTTTCAGTATTCAAGTCCAAACATAAGGCCCACTTAATCAGCCCAAAGCCCACAATCTTCCATAATTACTACTCTGCCAGTCATTCCTTCCCTCCTGCTGAGAGGCCTCCAAAATCCACTTCTAAAGGTCTTGTGAAGGCCGACCCAAAATCTCTCACATCTCCACATACACACGTCTAAATCATTTGTAACTGACATTTGCCAACGTTTGCTGATCCCCTCCCCACACAGGAGCCGAGCACAGTACGCCTGTCAAGTTTTAGATTTCCCTGCATGTTGAAGCTGTGTATAAGGGGCTGTTGAAAGAAAAATATTCAGTAACTCAAGAAGCTGGAAGGTAGTAATTAACCAAAAACACAACAAAAGTACAAGGAATGCTTTAAACTGTGTATTTGTCTCCTTTAATTTAAACCATTAGCAACCCCAGCTAACTAGTTTACTTTAAATGTGATTCTATACATTTAGTGATATTTTCCTGGATGGAGCATAACAAATCACAAAGTAAGATTATTCATTGCAGCAAAAATAGTGTTAATCCCAAAGAACCAACTCCAAACTCATTATATTTTTATTTTTCCTGAAAGTGTAGTTACACTTTGCACCAGCCAAACTCGTTACCCAAGGTAACGTCAGTTTGCCAAACTCATCAGCTAAAAGCCCTCTGAGCAAAGTCTTGTCTTGCTATTGGAATAAGTTTTTCTACTGTTTTTAGTTTGTGTTGGAAAGAAATAAAATACTAACTGCGTCACTGGTGATTATGCTGAATATCATATATTGCATATTTGAGACTCTTACATGGAAACATTAGGGAGTCAGCTGGAGGTTTTCATTTTAGATAAAAGGTGATTGTCTGCTAGAGAGGAAAAGCTGCTTTCTTTAAGGATCAGTTCCTTTAAAAATAGACAGAATCTTTAGGAGGAAAATAAGCACCCACGGTCTGAGCTAGGATTTTGCTGAATAAGAACCCATAAAGGGGCCGAGTACATGTCCAACATTCATGTACCATTTCCTATTCAGTAAGGCCTTTCCTTGTTTTGCTGTTGGTTCTATAACTTTGAGCAAAAACATGAATATATTTAGCAAATTGTTCCCTTATTTCTCCAAGCTAATTACAAAAAAGCTTAGAAAATACAAACAACATAGAAAACAAGATAAGACGTAGTTTGTGTGTTTACTAATCTTTTAAGAGTCAAGTGACTCTGCACTAAGAACTTCATATTGATTTCAGCCATTTTTTTGTGAAAAACATACTCACCAACTTCAGTAGCACACGTGACAAGCCATCGCACCATTTCCCTTCTCCGCCAGTTCAGGGTAGACAGGGTCATTCTCATCACCTAGAAGAAACACAGGATTAGCTCAGAGTCTACGCGGTATGAAGTGTGTCTGTGTGTTTGTTCGTGTGTTTGTTCGTGTGTTTGTGTGTTTTACCTGAAGGCCCAGCTCCAGGGAGACTTTGAGCAGCGTGATGTCCGGCAGGCTGTCCATGAGGGTGGCGATTTTGAAGGCATCCTGGGCCAGTTTGAAGATGTGGGATGAGGAGTGGATGTTCTTCTGGATGGACTCTAACACTGTTTGTAGCTTACGAGCATCACCTGTGAACACACCAAACAACCAATGATATAAGATGCGATGTTAAGTTTGTGTTTAAATGGTTTGAGAGGTATTGATTCACACAGGTAAATCAATATATTTTTTTGCCTGTTTGTTTAGTTTACGCAATGCAAATACATGCAACTTGTAAATACCTACACAACTGCTGCTGAAACTACTAAGTCTGATTGTCTGCATGGATGGTAACAACTTCGGGGACGATAGCGTGAGCGTATGTTCGACTGAGTGACAAATCGCGCCGCACTCATTCAATCAAGCAACAGCGTAAAACACCAAATTAGAGACCTCTTAATCAATTCAATGCCATTTGTCTAGGGCCAAATCACATTATCTCAAATTACGTAGTAAGGTCGAGACCCTTTCATGTTATTATGAGAAGTAAAAATGTTTTGGTTGATTATGAAACTGTGGCAGGACAAATAAGAATATGGTGCATGTCACAGTCTAGATAACTAATGGGAATCACTGCTTTGACATGGAAAGATAAGGTATTAGCCTTGTGCTCTCAGGAGGACCTTCTAGTTTCCTTATGTTACAAAACTATTCTCATTTTATTATATACAAACATGATTCATACTAATGTTTCACATGTTTACATACAACATGTTACAACCTCTTTGATAAAACATCGACCTATTTTGTCACATGACTGGTTGGCATGTTAGAGCAAGAAAAATATCCAGTCAGTGCCTGAAGAGAAGAGCTTGGGACTTGAATTAAACAGGAAAACTGTAAATAAGTATCCATTTATACTCTGAGTGTTGGGTCAACACTGTCACACACACACACACACACACACACACACACACACACACCCACACCCACACCCACAGTCGTGCCTATGGGATATTTTTAGAAGTGGTGATTATACATATATTTTGTCCAGATTAAAAATGAATGGAACAACCCAGGGAGTGTTGGCAGGTTAGGGAGGGGAGGCGGTTCACGCTAGGTGGGTGGTCGGACACAGAAATACCCTACATGAATTCTGGGTAGGGTGGAAGCTAACACTGCACAGAGCGTAACAAAAACATTTCCTGTTCAAAAGTTCAGTGTGTAGAATTTAGTTAAATCTAGTGGTGAAGTGTCATGTTGCAGCTGAACAGCCCTCACCTCACCCTCCCCTTCCAAACATGACAGAGAACCTGTGGCAGCCTTCAGTTGCCATAAAAACTCAAAAGATGTTTAGTTTGTCCAGTTTGATGCATGAAAATACATCCCTAACAGTTATAGTGACATGTCACTTTATCTTGTTATTGTTCATGTCATTAAACAAACAACATATCTCCTTAAAGGTTCAGTGTGTAAGATTTAGGTGAAAGGGATCTAATGGCAGAAATTAAAAATAAAATAATAATAAAAATCCTAAAAGTTTCTTGTTAAAAGTGAATAATGTGTTTTTCAGTTTACCTCACTGTGGAATGCATCAGTCCTGCAATAAATCCTCCTTAATGAAACTTGTAATGTTGACTTTGTGTTAAAACTGGTTTAGACATGATACAAGTATATGATCAGTTTGGAAGGAGTCAGTACTGAAGGAGTCGGGCTTGTGTTATTCGGATTATATTTACTGTATAACAATATGGGTATGCTTAACAATAGACTAATCTCTTTATATAATGTAATATAATGTTTCTCCTTAAAACCAGAGATGTTGTTCCCATAGAAACAGACATTGCCACTAGCAAAACGCTTCTGTTTGTACCTTTAGCAGCAGTGAGCATGGTAGAGGCCAGTTCACACTGTTGGGTCTCTATGTGGCTGAGCGTGAACCAGCGAGGGTAGCGGTTGGGCACCACCGACACTATATGGTGAGGCCGGGACAAGTCGCCAGAGGGGGCCGTGGACTCCAGGACTGGCAATCTGAGCACAGAGGAAACTCAATTAGACACAGACAGAGAAACGTAATCACACAGGAACTGATCTGTTCACTCAGATGAACATTTCATGGAGGTAAAGAAGTTATTAGAGAGCAATGCTCCTGTTATAGAATCAATGGATAGCCTTCCTTTGTCGGCTCAAATAAACTCAGGTGGATCTTTGCCTCAGGCCATAATAAGGGTGGGTTTAAAAATAACAGCTTGGTACGCTTTTCCCCCCACACTCCTGTTATATCCGTTTAAAGCTTCTGTGATACCACAAGTTTAATATTTCTCCTTCTATGATTCAAGTCTGTAATTTCAAAAATACAAATTATTGTAAAAATCCAAGGGGTCTTATTTGGGAAAGAGGAAATAAAGTTTCCAGTGGTGGTCAGGGAGGAAACCAACAGCATGTATTTATTATTCACACATTTTATAAAACTGGTTTTCAGCAGTGTTGAATTATTTAGTGAATATTCCAGCAAAAGGAGGTTTTGTCATTAAACAGTGCCCCAGATAGCTCCTAAATCTGCCTCCATTTCTCCATGTCTGTGCCATCAGACGCTTTTTCACCGCCTGGAAACAAGACCAATCAGCCAGCTCATATTTATTCACTCTCGCAGATGGGTCTGCCACCTCCCCCTCCTTCAGATAGTTTTCCATCCATTTATCTAAAAGGGGGCACGGTTGAGAGAGGAGCACCGATGAAGCATTTATATTAACAAAACCAAGATGGCTGCCGCTGAAGTTGAATCTGCTTACTATATACTTCCAGTGTTTGTTAATTTGGTGGAGGTTTAATTTACTCCTCCTCCTCTATGTCATGTTTAGTTGCGTGATTGATCGTAGGTCTAATTGTGTCCAGAAGCATTTTGGTCTGTGGCAGCTGGTAACACCCTGGCAGACTAACTGTTCCAGACATTAACCAGAGGAGACCAAAAGGAGACAGAGGAGGACGATAACTCCCTGTCTCACTTTTTCTTTATTTCTCTGTTTCGAACGCTCTGTCCAGTTGACTCACCTCATGGCCCTCAGTGCAATTTTGTACGCCAGTTCGGCTTCATGAGGTAGCAGCGAGGTGAAGAGATACTTGGCAAAGGTGTGCATGGGCACGCTCTCTCTGTAGAGTAATTCTCCCAGACCACTGTAAGGACCAGCTGGAGGAAAAAGCACGGAGACACAAGACAAAGGTCAGTTCAGTCCACACAGTCGGACTAAGAGATGAATGTAAAATCACAGATCTCAGCACAGCAGCTCATATGTGACTGCACTGTAACCTTGTGTGTGAGATGCTTCCCTGCCTGATATGTCCAAGTTTGATATCACAGATTAAACACTTACAGACACTGATGTGAACAGAACGACTCAGCTGTGAATCATCATCATTCCCTTAGTCAACCACTAGAAAAGTTAAAAAAAGAGACTTCTGTCTCAGCCTCTCAGCTATGATTTCACCTAAAGCAGTGTCACACAGCCCCAAACAATGCTAAAAATAAATAGGTGAGAAACGACAAGATTTTAAAGGATTAAGATTAATCTACCCTTCATGTCTATATACAGTATGTTTCTCATTATTCTGCTTCTTTTTTTTACGTAAAAGGACCGAAACCAACAATGTAGCACCAAAATTATCATAATTCCAAAAGATGATAATGTGAAATGCAGAAAAAGGATTTACTTTAATATCACAGCTTTAGCATAGCTGTATTCTTTGGTTTGTATTTGTGTTTCATAGCTTGTCTTTTCATATAAACTGACAAATAACAATGTGGCCAGTAAACCTGCTAAAACTTCTCTTATTCACTTATATTAAAACAAGGCCATTAGTTGCTATTTAAATAATTTAATGGGTCACAGATATATTTTTCTTTTAATTCCTGAATAGAGGACTACTTTTAGGGATTTTTTTTGTTGTAGTTGGATTAATAGTATTGAGTCATTCCTGCAGCAGGATACATAAATAATATTGTGTAAATACAATAATTAGACAACAAACAATACAAATGATGTGGAAGAAACAAGACAACTAAAGATGGCACCTCAGGTTGTGGGAAGTTATAACAGACATGTTTCACTATGTCATAGACAAAATAGTTATTTGAGAGAATATAGAGCAGATTAATCAATAATGGAAATAATCATAAGGAGAATGTAGAGGGGGCGGTTTTCTGCAGTTGCAGCTGAGTCACAGGTGATGTCTTCAGTTCTGTTATTTAGATTTTAGGTTCGCTAACATAAGACAAAGAAAAGCAGCAAATCATCACGTTAGAGAATCTAGAATCAACAGGTGCTTCACAATGTTTGAGCCTTACTCACCCTCTAGCAGGAAAATGGCTTGCTTCTGAAAGATTTTAACCAATGAGTCATCCAAATCGACTTCCTGGAGCTTGGCCAATAGCTGCTCTTCGTTACGACACACTTTCTCCTGGGCGTAGAGTCCGTCTGGCATCACCCTCTGCTGCCCCAACCCGATCAGCGCCGTCTCCACAGCCAGCGACACAAACGACTCCCCGTCTTCCAGGAAACGCTGCGCCGGGAAAGCAAAATGCTCCGTCATCCTCCCTGGACCAAATGAGCCTGAGGGTGAAGCAGAGGAGGGGGAGGCAGGGTGAGAGATTGAGATGGGCTTCCCTTTAGATCTGGTTCCAAGTTGGTAAAATACCAGGATTCATTAAGCTCTGTGGAAAACTACTCTTTCATTTATTCAATCTTTTTTGGACAACACAGAAACTGGCAAAGAAAAACTGACTGATGACCAGGGATGGAGTTCATAAAGTTTTATCAAATCCATATCCTTGTGTCTCCTTTATCAAATCTTTTGAAATAGTTTGTTCAGGGGGAACAAAGACATCTGTTATTGGTTCAAAACAATGATTTTATTTCACTCAGTGCAGCACAAAAGATAATTTTCCTAATCGAAAAATCTTGTCATGTTAATAACAAGTAGTAAGCTGGTCCAACATTTAAAAGTTATCTTTTTCACGTACTTTTAAAATCTTTTTTTTTTTTTATTTTCCTCATCCTCCTCAAAAACACCATTTTATTGTATTGCTATTTACTGAATGATTAAGTAGATTTAATATTTTCACAATGTTGTGTAAACTTGTGCTGAACCCCCAAGTTTTATCTTCTGATAAATAAAACTTTTTGAATTTCTGAGGTTAAATTTTTGCATACATCTCTTCATTTCACTCCAAACAAGGTACTTAAAAAGATTCAATAAAGGGTTCACAGACTGGAGCCTCCATCCTCAATGTGAGAGATGACTTAAGGCGGAGAATGTTCCCTTTGGGCTGTGGACTGAGCAGTGTGCTGATAGATCTATTGATCTATTTGTTCATTCTGCTGGGCCTTTTTTCACAGTGTGTATTCTCCTGGGGATGGTAGCCCTGTGTTTTAATAGCTTAATGATGTCTTGGCAGACCTCACAGTTCATCCCAGGAGGGTTAACAGTCCCTAATGAATACATACACACACACCCACACACTCACACACACACACACTACATTTACATCAGATGTAAACAGCAGTCTTAATTGAAAGGTAGCTACTTTTCCCCATGCAGGGGCTTCAGAATGTTTCCCATTACTTCACCTACTTCACAATAGAAGTGTAGAGCTGATGTGAACGTGTACTTCCTGTCTACTGTAAGAACTGTACTGTGTGATTGGGCTAGCTGAGCTCCCTGCATAATTAATACTTTTTAATTGGAGTGTTTTTCCTGCTGCATTCCTTATTCATGAGCTGTTATTGGAGGATGACTGCCGGCCAATCAGCACGTCTGTGTCATCACTGCTGATTGCGGCCTGAGGGCCTGCAGTTCAGACAGGAAGATGCAACCACTGCAGTGTAAATCTATCTGCAGTGGTAAACAGTAACTTAGCGCTGGTACTCACGTACTGTGCTTTAAGTACAGCTTTCACATACTTTTGCTGCTTTATAGTTGTACTCTACAACAGTGCAAGGACAACACGTCTCTAACAGAGTCAGCTGCAAAGTTGTCTGTCTATCAACTTACGGCCCATCAGTTAGGAACCACTGGACTAGAAGTAGATAAGTGAAGCTAAAAGTATCAATTATTGAATAATGTCATGTAGACATTTATTATTTTATCACATTTAGTACTAGCTGAAAGTGCTTCAAACAGGACTTATTGTTCAAACATCCTCCTTCCTTCTATTTCCATCAAATTTAACATTTTCGTTTTCTTCACAAGGCCTCTATTCTTTTACTTTGTATTTCAGTGTTGTTTCTCTGCATTACATCAAGCACTTTGACTGTGCATGTGTGTGCGTGTACCTGAGAAGTCGAGCAGGATTCTATCTTCGATGTCCCGTCCCGTCTCCATCAGGGTGCTGAACAGTGTGCCGATGGGGTCCAGAGGGTGGCCCACCCAACCCTCCAGGTTAGTAACTGATGTTATGCCTTTATGAAGTAGCTCTACAGTGGAACACAAACACCAAGAGACCGTTAATGGAGACAAAGCAAACTTTAATTTAAAGCCCATCGGCTCTTTAATGTGTTGTCTTGTAACTTCACTGTGTTTTTTCTTGAGGCCAAATCATGGTCCAATGTGCAACTTGCACCAGTGAGATGTAGAAACTTGAAACCTGCAGTTCTCTGAGTGCAACACTGTCATGAAAAGACTTTCCAGGGAAGTCATCTTGTGTCCAGCTGTTTAACTTCTGAAGTGAAAACTATTTGCATTATTCATAGATTCTGGGAAGGGATTAGATTTGATTTTAAGAATTTCTAACGAGGTACCTGATCTTTTTAATATTCTAAACAGAATATTTTTATGCGTCTTCAAACGTGTCTGTAGGATTTTTTTTCAAGCAAAAGATACAGAAAATAATACAGAAGTGATCAGTGACAGTTGTATGAATCAAAAAACATATTTGTATGTTATAAAGCAACTGTGGGTGAATTGTTTTCACCAGTTTGTTTATTCTCTTAATGTCTTTCATTACTGTTAATGGTCCTGTAGCTTTTAGCATTAATATTACAATTCAGCCATTTTAAGCTAAAACTGTCAATTCTATTACAGGCAAGTGTCTCTGATAGTTATTGTATTATGATGGACATAAGCTTTCGCACATAGTAAATATGAAATCATGAATATGGGAAAGTTAATAACTTAATAATAAAGGTTTCTGTGTAAAAAGGGGTTGCTGGTATCAGTCTCACTGCGGAATTCTGCAGTTAGTTCTATGCAGTTTGAAAGGGAGTGGGAAATAAAAAAAATAAATTGTATTGTGTTTTTCAAGGGGCACAAAAAGCTTTGCAACACAGGATATATCCTTTATATTCTAAATAATCCTTAAAATGTTTTAGGAGCCAAAACACACAGAGCAAGTGAATGATTGATTTGAGCCCATTACATTTGTTTTGCCAAACACCACAAATCTGCTTCAAATAGCTTAACAATATGTACAGCATTAAATATTAAGTCAGAGCAAAGCTAAGATGGGGAAAAATAAAAAGGAAGGAAACTGAGGAAGAGTAACACAGGATGGATTCCTGTTTCTGTGCCTTCAAGGTTAAATAAAGCTTGATGGAGAATAAACGGACCTTTTTTATGAGTGCGGAAGAACTCCAGCTGTTTCTGCTGTTGCCTCCTCAGTGTGTTGACTATGGCGATGGCCAGTCTGAGTGCTTCCTTGGGGTAACCATGTGATCTCAGGGCGTCGACTCGGGCGCAGGCGGTGGGTACATGCTCTGCGGGGATGGAAGGAGAAGAAAAGACGTTTCAAGACATTTTCAGTTTTATTGATTCAACTTGTCTGACCTCGAACCCAGTCTCTCACCGTGCCAAAGGGGCCACCCTCGGGCATCGAACAGGGAGCTGTCCATGTTGCCATGGTAACAGTAGTTGGTGTAGTGGTCCTCCGTGATGATGTGCTGCAGGTGGGGGTCCTGCCAGTGCAGGTCGCAGGCCTCGATCGCCCGCGTGAACACGGTCCGGTGAGGCCGAGTCAGGGAGTCTGAGGGTCAGTCAAGCAAGAAGAGGTCAGTTTTTAAATCCCACGTGGTGGTACTGAGGTGTTCAGACTGTGAGGGGGTGATGTGGTGGTGACACTTAGTACAAGAGCAGTTAAAGCTGCTGACTTTCCAGGTCTATCAACACCGTCAGGCTGCAGTGTCTATGACGAGCTCATGGAGCCAATTAGGGTAATTGAGAAACCATTTACGTCCCTTTTCTGCAATCAGTATCCCTAACTCCTCCTCTGAGTCATTACTCAGATCGGGTCAAATGTTTCACTTTCACATATTTTTAGAATCGGTGTCACTCCCACTTTTGGGTGACATCATTATCCTCCGATTCAGCCGTGAATTAACGTCCATAACCAACGTAGAAATCATAGAAAAAATTAATCTCCAGAACTTCTCTGAGAATCATCAAAAACTCCCGTGTTTATCATTATCTATAAAGAAACATGTCCAAAATACAAGGCAAACTTTCTGAGTAAGGCTAGGCATGACACTGAACTGAAAACTGCTATTGTAGCAGAATTGAGAATGTTAATAACACCTCAAAAGGAGGGCCGTCACAGACAGAAGGGCCACAGTAGCAACACCCTCTGCCCTCTCATTCGGAACATCTTTATTATCATCTAATAAAAAACGTGTCTGGAATTTTTTCAGCGCAAGCACATGCAGGGGTACAGGCCAGAAAAACTGTGTTATCAGGGTAGTTCTATTAGCTGCACTACAAAGGTAATACGACTCCTAGGCACGAGATTGATAGAAGGAGACTTGATTAAAAGAGAGGGGGAGGGGGAAAGAGAAGACTCAACAGTGTTAATAGAACAGCTGAACAGAAGAGGAGGGTGAGGCACAGACTAAAATGTACAGATGAGAGAAGATGCGATGTGGAAGAGGGTTTGGAGGGGAAACAAAAAGTAAAAGAAAGGAAATGTCTCAGCCTCAGCCAGGTGCCATCTCACCTGGGTTGCCGGGAGGGCCCTGGGGCAGAGCGTTGGTCAGATTGGTCAGCTCGCTGCCATGGTTACCATCCTCCAAGGGACAAACGTCCACACTGTTCCACCTGCGAAGCTGTCGTAGCCAGAAACCCTTCTGCTCGGGTTTACAGTGGGGGTTCAACACAATGCACATCCACAGAGCCCCTGCACAGAAACACACATTTACAGGTAAAGACAAAAACGCAAACTGTGCGGCAGAAGACCTGTGATATTGATTAGTGTGAAAATACTATTCCAATTTTGGTTTCTACAAAACACCTTTTGTCCCTCCAGGAGCAATCTAACACAAACAAAAGTACACAAAGACAATTCATCTACACACAGAAACAACCAGACAATATGAAGAAGAAGAAGAAGAAGGGGTTGAAATAGAAGGATTTATCATCTTTGAGAACTTGGTTCTATCTGTGAGACTCTTTGGCCTTTTGTGTTCTGTGCAATCCATTATACCATCCTCATATCCCACTACAGGCATTTCTTTATTTTTCTCCCACACTTGCACTTGTACTACGTCTGTAACTTTAGATTCAGCATCTCCTCCGTGTTGCATGTCTACCTTTCAAAGCAGACGAGTCATAAATGTAATTATAAGTGTGGAGGAACATTCTTTTTCAGACTTCAGCACAAAAATGGGGGAGTCTGTTTTACTCTGGTCTTAAGCTGAGAATTAATATTGAACAACACAACGTCACATGCCTAGTAAACTAGCAAATTACTGAAAAGGAGCAAATACATTTGGCAGAAAGAGAAATCAACCATTGGTCATTATTCTCTAAACTACTCCAGGGCAATTTAGATTACATCAACTGAACATACGCTGCTGAAAACTTTTCAAAAACATCTGTATTTCACTAAATCTCAACTCAACTTTCTGTTCAACAGATGTGGCGTTGGATAATGCAGTACAACTAATGATTCCTTTTCACTACTGATTGATTTGCTGGTATTTTCTCCATTAGTCAATGTAATTGTTGCTGCGGCTACCTGCACTCCTGGCTGAGCACACGAGGACACTGGGTACAGACAGGAGGATAAAGGCGCAATGTTGAGGGACAAATAAAGGATGACAGATGACAAAAATGAAACAGGAGAAGAAAAGAAAAAAGGAGGTGAATTGATGAGAGGGGGAAAGGGAAGACACGAAGGAGAGGTGGGGAGGAAGCGCATGGGGGAAGGAGAATGAGAAACGGGGGGAGGGGACAGGCGAAGAGAGGCTATATCCTTCATCTCTTTGTTAAGGCTGCACCAAGGACACGACGAGGAGGGAATAACAGCAGAGACATGAGAGTGACGAAATGCAGAGCAACAATCTGGGTTTAGTGGGAAAATAAAAACAGAGAGAGGGGGGAGGATGGAGTTTCAATCTGAGGGCTAATCTATGATTTATTAAGTAGAAGATTTGTCATTGAGCATTTAATACAACTGTTTTATTATGAATTTATGAGTTAGCAGCCTGCAAACGAGAGCACAACTTGTAACTAGTTAATATAATGTATTTATATATATATTATACTAAAATCATTTACAAATAAACACCTTGATGATCCTATAAAATACAATAGACTAGTAAAGAAAAATAATAATTTTTAGTCGTGACAGTCTTTAGCAACCAGAAAAGGGTTTGAAGAGTGAATCTTTCCTTTTTTTACCAGTTAAATTGCTGATAACAGATTTAAGTACAAAGTAGCCTGCACAGAATGTTAACAGGTTGTCAAACAGCATCAGTAAAGAACCTTGATCTTGAGCCTCAGCCTGATTATATTTGTGATCCAGCCAAGTGCAAAGATATTTCTACAGCTCTTGTCATCCGATGTTCCAGTTGTTTGAGGAAATATTGATTGTTATTATTAATTGAATCATATTTGAGGGAATATTTTTTTAATATTTCTGGTTTAAGAAAAATAATAAATATCAGTATATACTTTCTATACTATCACTCTTTCTAAAGCCACAGCAAACTATGTTGTATTTCTATATTGTGAGTGTGTGCTTGCTTTCACTCCATACCTAGTTCATCCCACAGTTGCCTGTACTTGTCAGTCATGGTGGTCCCCTGTTGCCTCCACAGCACCAGTCTGGGGTCGCCCATGAACTGCTCTGTGATCAGCGTTAACATGCGGGCTCCATTGGAGTCCCTCATCTTCAGCATCTCTCTCACCTACACAGACGGGGGGGAGACATTGTGGATAAAGGTCGCCTGCCACAGAGGTCTATGTGCTGCTCGCTGGGCTGAGGAACGAGCGCAGTTATCCGCTCTGGGGATCGTTACCTTGCTGAACAGTAAGTTGAGCTGCTTTCCCGAGCCATGGTACCCGCCCTGGGAGAGAAAGAGCTTCACCTGCTCCTGAACCTGCTCCTCGTCCAGATGCCAGCAGTTCTCATCGTCCACGCTGGCCCCTGCCGTCGGATCTGGAGCTCCTGCACCAAGTTACGAAAAATCAGTCAGCAAATTATTACGGAAGGGAAACAACAGCAAAATCAAATGACCCTGATTTCCATTGATTAGTTTCCTACATTCAGTGATGGGAGAAGGGCTCAGATCTTTGAGTGAAGTAAAAAGGAGGAAGAGTTCTTGATTATCATCAAAACCACAGAGTTTATGTCTTTAGTATAAAGTGAGCATGTTTGCTTTAAGTCTAATTAGTTACTATAATTACTACTTATGAATATGTGATGCACATACAAAATGTATTATTATTATTATAAATAATAATTGAACATAACCACATCATAATTTATTTCATGATTATATTCAATATATTATTAAGAGTCACCAAATTTGCTAAGCTTATCTAATAAATGCAGTGGAGGAGAAATATAAAGTTGCAGAAAAGATTAATACTCAACAAGTAACTCAAAAATACCAGACAATTAAATATGAAAGTGTCTTGTCTGGGAATTCTGAACATGATTAAATCTGCATTAGTATATAGTTCACTGTTTGCACTCATGCTTTGATGCACTGCTGGTTAAGCTTAAACACTAAACACCATAAACTCTGCAACAATAACTGGACTCCATTCGTGAAGAATACATCCTGTGCATTTCAACAATCTAATACATGTCACTGTGGAGGATTAAATCCATAAGACTCAAGGAAACCAGCTCCTAGTATTTGCCACAGTCAACATGAAAGCAACGAAGAGGAAACAGCCAAACTGCAACCTAAGGCAGGGTACACAGAAAGAAGGAGGCTGCAAAGCAAAACATCTTCAGACAGGCTTCTATGTAATTAAGCAACTGTATATTATCAGATTAAATCATTAACATGGCTGACAGACACTTGTGTACATGTAAATAAACATGAAGAGGAATATCACAGGGACTGTAAAACATTAAGGTGCTACATCATCGTAAAAATAACAAAGCAGCAAATATTCTGTTGTAAGATTTTCCCAAAATTAATATGTTTTACTACAAACACTATAATGTACATCTATGAAGTGGCCAGAAGTATTTAATGGCCCCATAGAACACAACAGATGATACCACAGTACAAAAACACAAAGCAAAGTGTACTATAACATGTACCCACAAAACCACAGACAGGAACTACAAGTATCCTAGGTTATATTAAAACTACCAGAAAAATATCCACCATGTACTGTAAAGCTAGCCAAACATGATTACTCATTAAATACTTCAATTATCAGTTGATGTGTCATAAATAAACAATCCCTTGTACCAGGTTCTAAAATATTTGGTCCTCACAAGGGTTGTTTCAGGGTTAAGACTTGCTTTAGGGTTAGAATTAGTTTGGGTTTGGCATTCAGTTGTTAAGGTTAGGGTTAGGGTAAGGGGTTAGGGAATACATAATGTCAATGAGTGTCCTCACAAATATAGAGAGACATGTGTGTGTGTGTGTCTCTCTCCTAAACAGCTTGTTTTCCCTGAGTTCCTGCAGCTGGACTACCACTGGTGTAAGACTGAGGAACCTGCATTTGCTTCCAAGGGTTTTTGTGCCTGTGCTGCTCTTGCACATTAAAGCACCGCTTGTCACTCCATTGAAATCACAAAAATCAGGCATTAATACAGAGCCTCCACTCACCATGAACCTGGTTGATCTCTGAGTTCTGCGACAGTATTTCATCTGCCAGCTTCTGTGCCGTCGGCAGCACCTCCGTGTGATGCACTGTGATCAAGTACTGCACAAACTTCTGCAGCTGATCTCTGTTCATTTGGAAAAGAGTCTCTGAGATGGGCAGGCGCAGTTTGACCTGCTCGGGCTTCCGTACTCGGTACAGCGAGAGCGCCACGACGTGGGCGCAGTAGAAGATGTCCTTGTTGCCGCAGCTGCATGTTACTGCCGTGATTTTGCAACGGTCGAAGCTGACGCTCACGTTGCAGACCAGCTCGGGCTCCGAGGACGTGGCAGGTTCCCTTACTGTGCCGCTGAGGTGAAACCCTGCACGGAAACAGAGAACGAAAACAGGGTTAATCTTTTAATATACGCTGTTCAATGCATGGAACACATTTTCTCAGAACTTTGAGGAGTTGTGCATGGTTCGAAAGCTTCAACTCTTTTAGTTCTTTCTTCTCAAAGTATTTTAGGATCCATGTATCCCAGCAACAGCTGTCAACACAGACGTGGTTCAGACTTGTGGCCTTATGTTCACTTGTTTATGCCAAAAATAATAAACAATGCAAAAAGCACACAAAAATAGAATCCTCACATTTCTACCGTGTGTGACTCTATAACTTGGGTGCAGTATCTCTGACATTCAAAGAATTGCCTTTCGACGCAGGCCAGGGTATTGACGGTTATCAAAACGGTTGAAGAACGCTAAACCTTTAACTTTAAGGTATAAAGAAACTGGTTATTTCTCTGCAGTCAGTGACTATCTACATGCTGTTAAAGTATTACAATTTCAAAGTTACAGATGATAAAATCTACATTGGTCACTTTGTCTGCATCTGATTCGCCTGATTCGCTGATCGGTATCAGTGTGGTTCAACCTGACATTCATCCAGTCAGAGAGCTGGCAGGGGGAAAACTGTAAAAGCGAGACAGAAGCCAGGAGAGGGCAGGGACCCAAATATTCGAATTTCCTGTTCATTTCCCTTCCACAACACCACTGGTGCTTACCTTACCCTGAACCACTCCTCCCTCTCTCTGGACTGACGGGATCATTTCACCGCAGGCTGAGACCTGCTATTGTACAGAGAACCTATTGCACTCTCACAAGTTAAAGACCTATAGGCCTGTGCGTGTGTGAATGTGTGAAACATTTACATGTGGGTGTGTCTTGAACCCTCATTTCTCAAAGCGTTCGTGTTTGTGGTCTTTTGACATGAAAATAAACCCACGGGGAAGTTTGCGCTCATTTTCTGTTTTAACTAAGAACCCATCACAGATATATAGAGTTGAAAACAGTGGGGGAAGAGGGACGGGTGAGAACAATGTACTGAAAGTATTAAAAACTATACAATACTGCTATATATTCTACTATAAAACATGAATCTGTTAAGTTCAGCAACCAACAGAGATGTCGTGGAGCAGATGTATACTATAGCAGGAAGTAAAAAATACTAGTAATGTATAAGTACATCAGATTGTTTTTTAGTCCAGTACTTGAGTAAATATGATGTAAAAGTACAATCAGTGATAGTTTATCATCCACTTACACACATTGACCAGGGCAAGTGTCTGTTGTTTTAGTTTTTCAGTGTTCAAGTGCTAGTTCCAACAAATCAAAGTTACTGATTCAAAGAGAGTCACTCCATCATTAATCACTTCACAGAACTCCTCAAGTTTGACAAAAGCATGTCGACACACAGTACACAACTCACTGTTTGTCTAACAAGTCAACACACACAGCGGGAAAGTTTGTCTCTCTAGTCTTGAATCACAGGAGCAGGATGTACAGTATGATTCGCCTCATGTTTTCTGATTTGTTGCAGGATGTTGATTGTGCTGCTGATGCGTTATACAGAGGGGCCGTTCTGTTCCATCTGTCCTCATTAAACCAAATAAGACAAACGTCTGTCAGTGCAATGCAAGTGAACAATAACATGACCTGCTGCCTCAAACTTCTCTTGAACAAACTAAATATTATAAACTATGAAGGAGGATTTACTGTTTACTGTTTTAGCTTGGTGTTCCTAATAAACTGACTACTGACTGAACAGTTTATAATGTTAGGAAAGTCTGACGATGTAGAGAAACACATGTGAACAAAACATAAGCAGTGCTATTCACCACGGAACATTAACTTGGAGATTTGATTTCCACAATGCTCAGATGTTCTCACACATGTGACACACACCACATAGCTGATGCATATCACCCCTGGTGGGTGGAAGAAGGTTGTAAACAGAGGAGGGCTTTTTTCTGCAAATGTGGTGGGGCTGAGAGACACCCTCAAACTGAGCAACGTCTGAGAGCGGAACCTCTGATACAAACAGAAACTTGTGTTTCAGTTCTGCAGACACTCCACGGACACACACACTGACACACACTTCACCCAACCACCAGTCCACATCCTGTCTTTTTAAATACACAAACACAGAAATGCATGGCACTCTCTGTTACACAGCCCTGCCCCAGTCATGCCTGGCCCACAGCTGAACTACTGACGTAACAGAAAGAGAGAGGGTGACTCCAGGAGGAGGAGGAGGAGGCTGGAAAAATCGGTATGCCCTCAGCTGAGTGTGAGTGCGTGTGCACATGCAGGAGTGTATGTTTGGCAGCAAGCCAAAGCCCTGAGCTCAGCATTCTGTAATGCACTTCCTCTCTGTGTGTCTGTGCTTCACAGCTTGCATAATACAGCTCTCTGTGAACCGCATAGCAACCAAACTTAACTCCTTCCCTCCCAGCGCAGCATCATCTCAGACAGGAGACAAGCTCTGACGGGAAAGTAGTCATTTACTCATGTGCTGTACTTTTTTTTTTACAACACAGATATTTCAGTAAAGTATTTTTACACTACCTTCACTCCACTCACTTCAGAGAGACTACTGCACCTTTTTTCATTTATTTGGAAGTTTAAAAAACTACTTACTTTACAAATTCTGACGAGCTGTAGAAAACACAAGTAGCAAATGAATTATGGTGTGTTACTAGAGTTTGAGCTGTCCTACTGTTTTTTATTCACCAATTTCAATATACTCAAAATTTGCTTACACAACTTTGCATCAATAATCATATTCCTATAATATATTATAATATAACCCTTAATCAGCCCTTAACCATGCAGAATGAGAACGTTAGGGTTTGGTACTTTTAGGTATCTTTTACTTTTACTTTTAAGTACAAAGCATTTTGTATGCACTTCTTCCACCAAAGGTTACCAGGAACTGTCATTTTATTTAATAAGTATTGTAATTAAAAACATGTTTGACTGAGTATTTATTGTATATAAAACAAAGCGGTGGAGAGAGTACATAAAATATTAACTTAAAATAAAAGTGCCAATGCACACACACCATTAAAACAGATGCCTGCATTCAACAGGATGTTAGGTTGAAAACAAAGTACTACCATGTAGCATCTTAAGTAAAAGTGTGATCAGTTTTTAAAATAAATGCTAAAAATAACCTTTGTAATTTCCCACATCCTCTAAAACTGTCTTGTTTTGACTGAGCAGCAGTCCAGAAACACAAATATAGTCATATGTGACAAAGACAGGCATGAAATACTCACTGTAGGAAGATGGAAACAGCAAACAGTATTTTAAAGAATAAATTAAAAAACATTATCGAAACAGTTGCTCAGTACTTTACTTTTGAACACCGTACCAATTTTTAAACTGAGGATTGCAGTCTATTAGTTTATAACATCTCCTGGCAACCTTCAATCGGTTAAAGAAACATTTTTACAGCTAAAATTACTGCCCGCTGCAGAAAAGAGAAAACCTTTAACATCTACTGTGGCCTTTTCGGTTTTGTTGAGGTAAGAACATTAAAGTCTTTTTCAGACTTTACAGGACGTGCAGATGGCCTGATTAACCACTCTGGAAACACTGGAAAACAAGGTTCAACACTTCACTCCAGTTAAGCCAGAGGTAGGTGACATAAGCCCGCTCCATAGGATTCAGAGAGGAGGATGGGAGGAGGAGGAGGGGGGTCTTTTTGTGGCTGAAAACAAAGCCGGGACGTTAGCCTGTGAAAGAGCAGTGGCTCAGCTCCCTACAGAGATCAGCCTGAGGAGACCTTCATGCCAGAGGCTGTGTGCAACATTGTCCACTGAATTCTGTGGCTGCAGGGCGTCACTCTCAGCTATGTGGCCATAGCCTTCATTTAACAGGACTACCACACACAAAAGGCAGACAGACCCCATCCTCCTCCACTCTACATTACACACAGGCATACGCCAGTCAGCCATTCAGTCAGCTCGGCCTCCAAAGCTGGCCAGTCAGGCGGAAGTGAGAGCCTCTCAACCAAGGTGTGTGTTAGTGTGTGTGTGTTAGTGTGTGTGTGTGTGTGTGTGTGTGTGTGTGTGTGCTTATGATGACAATGGGGAACCTAATCTCTCACCCGTGGAGATGCAGGGGCACCTCTGGGGCTGTAGGAAGGTGAAGTAAACAACCAATCAATAGTCACTGTGCACTGATTACCATCTGTCCTTAATGACTGGTTTCAGATGAGCCTCCCAGTGCATTTAAATAGAACTTTATGATGGAGTATTTACTGCTACTCATTTATGTGATTCTGGCATCAAAAGAGTCAAAACTGACTTGAATGAAATATTTCTGGCCATTGATTGGATCGTCTATCATTATTGGAACTGATACCGCTTATTTAAAATGGTTGCTGCGGTCCTAGCCAATCATGAATCATGTTCAAACACGGCAGCAGATTCTGCGTGGTAAACCTACCACTGTTATCACTGTAAAAGCTGTGGGGGCTACAGGGCTTAGCGAAGGGTCAGATGGGTTCGAGGGGCAGCGCTCATGTGGTAATGTGTCAAGGGGGAGGGGGGATGTCCTGTGAGCTGGAGGATGCACCTCAATGCAAGCACAGAATGAGGTCAATGAGGATTTGAGTTAGCTGGGTCAATCTGTGTCCCTTAAGCTCCTTACAGTATGACCAAGCTAATTGAGGACCTCCTCCTATTCTGTAAACTTTTTATCAAACCGGCCTTTAGGGTGTTTACTCTTTTTTAATGTCTTGCAACTGATTCTATTTAATTTATTTTCAAATTGTCTAATGCAAATTTCAATTCACCTCAGAACTGCAGCAGATTTCAATTCTTCACCTCAGAACTGCAGCTTATATCATTTCTTTTTACATAGTTAAGAGGTTTGACTGCTTCTTCTTCCTACCCACTGTCCTGATTTTGAAACCAAACTCTAGAAATAACAAACTGCACTGAAATACTACAAGGAGGAAGGAGTCCTCTCTGACCAAGTGGACAGAAATTCCTCAGCTCTGTCAGAAAAACAAGGGGCCACCTTTACAACGCAT